GTTTTACTTGATATAGTGGAAAGACGGTTAAATGATAATATGGTAAGTACTTAGAAGTATCTTATAACAAAATACCATTTTTAATGTCTAAAAGAATTCCACTTATGAAAATAAATTTTTTATCATATCTTCCAAATTGAATCATTACACTGAATAACAAAAAAAAAATTTCGGAAAATATCTTGGAAACCAACACTTGTTTTAAGACAAGTAAGACATGCTGATTACAAATATAGAAACCGTTTGTCTCTATCACCCACTGTTGTTGAGTTATTTGGCATTGACCATTTATATATGTTTAATATTGTATCAAAGCAAACAACTCGCAGGCAAGTTACAGTAGAGCATATATCGCTGAATAGAGTACTACTTAATATAAATACACATAGTTTAAAATATAATACACTTGTAAAATACATAGGTATAACGTAAAGTTCCTTAAATTAAAAGTTAGTTTGGTTTGAATTTCTTGGCTGTAGACTTGCGTTTGTGCTGACAATTTGGCATGTTGCGCTGAAGCATCCAGCAATAGTCGGCTAACATTGCTGCACTCCATTGGCCTTGATAGCGTGACTCCATCACCGAGATGTCCTGATGGAAACGTTCACCATGTTCATCACTAACAGAACCTAGGTTTTCTGGAAAGAAGTCGAGATGTGAGTCGAGGAGATGAATCTTGAGGGACATGTTACAACCCATTAACTTGTACGCACTAATGCACTTCTGCACAATATTTACATAGTCAGGAGATTTATTATTTCCAAGGAAATTGGCTACAACAGACTTAAATGCCAACCATGCTTTTTTTTCAGTTCTGCTGAGTAAATCTTCGAAGTGACTGTCTGCTATGATCTTCCTTATTTGTGGACCTATGAATACACCTTCTTTCACTTTCGCATAACTCAACTCTGGAAACTTGTTGCATAGGTACCGAAAAGCATCTGAGTTTTTGTCTAATGCCTTCACGAAGTTTTTCATGAGCCCTAGCTTTATATGAAGTGGAGGCATAAGAACTTTTTCACGCTCAACCAATGGCACATGCAGGACGTTTTTACTACCTGGCTCCATTTTATCTCTAATGGGCCAATTCTTATTTATATAGTGGTGCTTCCTATCTCTGCTGTCCCACTCGCAGATAAAGCAGCAGTACTTGGTGTACCCTGTCTGCATTCCCATGAGAATAGTGATCACTTTTAAATCACCACACATATTCCAATTGTAATCGTGATAGCGAATTTTTTCAAGAAGTAGCGACATGGTTTCGTACGTCTCTTTTAGATGAGTAGAATAACCAACCGGTACTGATGCATACATGTTTCCATTGTGTAATAATACAGCCTTCAAACTTGCCTTGGAGGAATCAATAAATAGACGCCATGCTTCAGTCTTACGTTCTACACCGAGGCTTGACATAAGACCTTGGATGTCAGTGCAGTAGCACATATTGTCACTCATTGCAAAGAACTGCACGAGTTCTTTGTGTCTATGTCGAAATTGTGAAGTTCTTGTACCTGGTGATAGCAAATTAAACTCTTTCAGACATGAACCTAGCAGTTCAGCTTGACCTTTTGTTAGTGCCAGGTCCCGTACAAGGTTGCAAAGATCATCATTATTAATCAAATGAATTTCATCATCATCAGGATTGTAGTCAGAGTCTGCCATGTTGCTGGAAGACGAACTTTCTTCTTGTGTTGCATCATCGACTCTGTATTCTGTAAGTGATGTTGGTATTGGACAACTGACTGGATCATGTGGAATTGGTTTTGAAACCGAGGGAACATCTGGATACTTCACAGATTTTTTTTTTTTTTTTTTTTTTTAACATCTTCACTTCCAACAAGGCTGCAAGCAACCACTATAAGAGTTGGAAGTTACTGGAAGAGAAAAGACTAAATCTGTAGAGCAAGATAACGATTGACTGATGACTTAAAAGATTGCAAATTATATGAATCAGGAAAGCAAGATGAAGGAAGCGAATTCCAAAGAACTGATGTTCGAGGAAAAAAACTAGAAGAATAAGAGTTTTTGAAGCACTTAGGAACAGTCACAGAAAAAGGATGAGACTTAATTGAATGGCGAGTAACACGAGAGTGAATTTTAGTAGATGGCACAAGGGACGCTAGCTCTTTAGAGCAGTGCCCATTATAGTATTTGTAGAAAAGAGAAAGAGAAGCAACATTACGACGATGTGACAAAGGTTGGAGATTGGCTGCAAGAGCAGGTCCAACTATGTTTACAATTCGTTTTTGCACCTTGTCTAAAAGAGAAAGAGCATCATTAGAAGATCCGCCCCAGATGTGGCAACAGTATTCCATACAGGGACGGATTTGAGATTTATAGAGATAGAGAATAGAATCAGGAGTAAGAAAGTGTCGAGCTCGATAAAGAGATGCAACCTTTGCAGATGCTAATTTTGCAATGGATTTGATATACGGTTTAAAAGAAAGATCAGAAGTAAGAGTTAATCCTAGAAGATGAATGGTAGATGACTCATCTAGTACATTACCATTCATAAATATAGGAAGATCTAAATTATTACGATAACGATTGGCCGAATAAAATTGAGTTTTATCTGAATTAAAGTTCACCAGCCACTGTGAGCCCCATGCTATAGCAGAAGTGAGATCTTTTTCAAGCTCAGATACCCCCTCCAAGCAATCAGAGAGTGTAGGCTTCTTATCATGACAAGAGTAAATGGTAGTGTCGTCAGCGAATAATGCCACCTTAGATGTGAGAATATCTGGAAGATCGTTAATGTAAATTAAAAAGAGTATAGGGCCAAGGATTGAACCTTGAGGAACCCCTGAAGTTACAGGATGTGAAGAAGAGTGTTGTCCATCGAGGACAACTTTTATACTACGATTGGAAAGAAAGGACTCAATAATCTTAAAGACGTTACCAGCTACACCATAAGAAGAAAGCTTATGGAGAAGACCAGCATGCCAAACTTTATCAAAAGCTTTAGAAATGTCAAGTGCGATAGCCTTAACCTCTCCACCTCTATCTAATGCACGGTAAAACCTATCGGTTATTACTGTTAGCACATCAGCTGTAGAACGAGAAGACCGAAATCCATATTGATGATCAGAGAGTAAGTTATTTGATTCAAGATGAGAGATTAAGTGTTTGTTGATTAAAGATTCAAAAACCTTGCTTATGACAGGAAGAAGACTAATGGGACGGTAGTTAGATGAATCAGATCGCTCTCCGGAATTTTTGAAAATAGGGATAACAGATGCTGCTTTCCAGCATGATGGAAAACAAGACTCTGATAAGCACTTGTTAAATAGTTTAGAAAGTATGGATGAAAGCTCCGGAGAACACCTCTGCAAAACTACAACAGGAATGTTGTCAGGACCACAAGCTGTTGAAGAGTCTAAGCAGGAAATTACTTTAGATACAGAAGCTGAAGTGATGCGAATGTCAAGCAAGGGATCAACCTGTTTGACGGCTATGTCAGGTAAAACGCAACTAGTGGAATCAAGAGATGATATTGATGAAAAGTTCTTAGCAAACAATTCAGCTTTGTCTTTAGGTGAGGTGACAAAGTCTGAACCATACAAGAGAGAAGGAATAACAGATTTGCCCTTATTATTGATACTGTTAAAGATTCTCCAGAAGTCTCGAGAGCCTAATTTTTGTGATGAGATACGAGATTTAATGACCTGGGAATAGCGAGCTTTGGCGTCAGACAAAACCTTTTTACAATGGTTTCTGGCGATAGTGAACAGATGTCTGTTTTCTGGAGAATTGTTTTGCTGATAGATATGGAAGTAACGGTTTCGATTAGAAATTGCTGCAGCGCAATGTGAGGAAAACCAAGGAGAAGAGTGAGGTTTGACCTGGAATCGTCGAGAGGGAATAAAAGATTCCATGCCAGCCTGAATCCACGAAGTTATGTAAGAAGCACATTTGTCAGCAGGAAGACGAAAGATTTCTACCCAAGGGCCATCACGAAGAAAATCACGGAAAGAGTCCCAGTCAGCTTTAAGGTAGTTGTATGTGGTACGATGATAGGGGGATTCTGATGAAGTAGAAGAATTTGATAATAGTTTTAGAGAGATCAAACCGTGATCAGAAGTACCTAAGGGTGAATGTGGAGAAATTGAGCACTGACTAGGATCCAAAACAAGACATAAGTCGAGTAGAGAAGGTAAATGATTAGGGTTGTCTGGAAAACGAGTTGGAAAGTTGACTATTTGAGTTAGAGATTGAGAAAGGCAAAAGTTGAGGGCCTTAACGCCAGCAGAGTCACTGACACTAGAGCCAAGCCAATCGGTGTGATGGGCATTAAAGTCACCAACAACGACGATATTGGCCGATGGATAAAGAGAGAGGGCTTGGTCAATTTGATCAGAAATAACATCAAGAATAGTGCAGTCTTGGGATGAAGGAGAGCGATATAGAACAAAGAGAAAGGCGATAGAGTGAAGTTGTGCTAAACGAAAGCACATAAATGAATAGTCTGTAGATTCAAACCTAGTTTCACGACAAATGGGTGAGTTCTTACGAATGTAGATGCCCAGGCCAAGCATGTGATTATTGGAGTCTTTACGAATTAAAGGAAGATAACCATCAACACTAAGATCACAAGATGGGACAGCCGAACTCAAATTAGTCTCACAAAGAGCAAGTAGGTCTGGTGAACTTTGCAAGAGATAAGACTCAACAGAAGAAAAGTTACTTCGAAGACCACGAATATTAGTAAATGATAGGTTTAGAGAACTTGGTGATGACAATGGTTTTTTGTGTTTTTTAGTTTTAGGTACTTTAGTCATTTTAAATTTATAAAGAACTTGACTCAAGTATAGATAGTACTTAGTACACTATTTAACAACTAAGCAATAGCCTCATTACTACTAATAAACCCTAAGCCGTAACAAAGGGCTCCAAATGTGGCCTCTGCAATGCACACCAAAAGTACAAACAGGGACACCATCCATGCGCAACATGGCACTGTTAGTACTCTGATATTTTTCGGCTGTTGATGGAATCAGCCTCTCTGAGAGCTACCACAGAGTTCGGGAAACCTGACTACCAGCCGGCCTCAGAACCATAAAACTGAGTTTTAGAGCTGTACCCTCATTAGGAGATAATAGAATGAGTTGCCCAGTCATAAAAATAGAGACACAAGCAATACCCACGCATTGAGTCAAGAAGATCCAGCGTTCAACATCCTAAACTGGAAACAATGTATTAAAAATACATCTGCGCCAGCCTAATAGATGAGGAAGGGGTGCGAGGCTGGTCAACAGATAGAATCTGTTTACCCCTTAAGTCTTTGCCTAGGAGGCCTTCTACAAGACAGCAGCTGGATGCATGTAACATCTGCCCAAGATGAGTATTTTTATCGAGACACCATCTCTAGCCTTTACTCAACCAAGAGCCCCAAGGCAGGGGGTGTTTTAATTCGGAGTTAACTTCTCCTAGCCTTTGCCTAAAAAAGCGTATCCTACAAGGCAGCAGGACATGGATGAACGAGTCTTGTATGAGAAACCTGTGACATTTGTCAAACAGAAATAACAGTCAGTGATGTGGTTGCTTGACCCACGCCATATCATAGGAACTCCAAATGCCAGATGGTTGTTATTTTTAGCATTCCTTATCCAACCCCGTAAGTTGCATGCACATGTCAAACAAATGAACTGTGGTGCCCATGACTTGCCGCTGTCAACCTTTGAATCAAAGTATAGTTCATAAGTTTTTCTCAGAAATGGTGTAAATGTCTTTCGGTGGCCTTTGTCTGTGAGATAGCCGCACACATAACAAAACAAGTCTGGTGAATTGATGCTGCCTCTAGACGCCATTGTTTTCACTGAAAAAAAATAGCAAATATATAGGAATAGTATAACTCATAATAAACACACAACTCATTAATAAACATACAGTTACAAATTAAGTACACTAAAGACCTATTTTCAGAACAGAATATATCAATTTAAAATATCAAAAAAATATGTTTAGTGTTGCCATTTGTTATTAACTTAGTAAAATAAACTCTATTTTCTTATTCATTCGTAACAATAAGGGATTAAAAAATGTATGTTTATGTTAATATCTTAAAAACCTGACGTGATAGAGAAAAACGGTTTTCAGATTTGTAATCAGCATGAAAAACTGCTTTAGAAAATGTAATCATCAAACAAGATATTTTTGGGTTGTTGTTCAGTGTTATAGCCTAACCGCAAGACTTACTTAAACTTGAGTAACTGAATTACTTAGAGCTTAAGTATAAATAAATTTATTTAATAAATCTGATTGGTTAAGCTTGAAAACATCAACTGATCAAAAAACATTAGGTATCAACTTCTCTAAATTTATATGTAGATTTGTTTTGATAAAACCTATTTAATGAAGAATTCATTAAATAGGTTTTAATTCATTCCTGACAAACTGGTTGATTCAAATTTTCTGAATCCTTTTTTTTTTATTGCCCCTACTGAAATCTTTTACATAAAATTGTTTTCTACTTAGTACTTAGATTCTTTTACATAAAATTGTTTTCTACTTAGTACTTAGATTCTTTTACATAAAATTGTTTTCTACTTAGTACTTAGATTCTTTTACATAAAATTGTTTTCTACTTAGTACTTAGATTCTTTTACATAAAATTGTTTTCTACTTAGTACTTAGATTCTTTTACATAAAATTGTTTTCTACTTAGTACTTAGATTCTTTTACATAAAATTGTTTTCTACTTAGTACTTAGATTCTTTTGAGTCATGTGAGTTTTGGTGCATGTGACAACCAGACTACTTAGTACTTAGATTCTTTTGAGTCATGTGAGTTTTGGTGCATGTGACAACCAACTACTTAGTACTTAGATTCTTTTGAGTCATGTGAGTTTTGGTGCATGTGACAACCAGACTACATTTCTTTGACAGTCTTACAAAAGCATTTCAGTACTTTCCAGTACATTTGAACTTTTTTCTCCATTGTTGGTTGTTTTCTGTTGTATTGTCTTTTTCTGCTGCTTTGAAAAGCAGTTATCTTTTTTTCCACCTATCACAATTTTATCTCATTTGATTGGTCAGCCTAGTGTAAAACTTTCAATATTTATAATGTTAAACATTTTTTAAATATAATATTTAAACTATTTATTTTGGTTCATTTTAAGATTGATGGAACGTTAAAATTCAATCTTAATGCTCTCTGGAATTTAACAGGTGATTATTTTTATAGTTCAATTTTTTCAACAACAGTTTCTTTGTTTTATTTTTGAATCACATGCAAAAAGAAAGAGTAGTTTTTGTTAAAAGAAAATGTTATAGAAAATTTGAAATTTTGTTTTAGGAAAAAGTTACAGAAAATATCTGTTTTATTTAAACATGTTTTTTAATGCTGATGGCAACAAAATAGTTTTTATTTTAAGTTTATATAATATTTTCCTATTTATTAAATATTTATTTTAAATACTATAATATTTGTTTATTATAGTTAAAATGTTTTATGTAATATTTGCTTATATAGCATATCTATTCTTAGTCTTACCTCTTGCATTATGCAAGCAATCTATGTTATTGACAGTTACATAGCAGATTACTTATTATGGATGTATAAAATAGAATAGAGTTCTAGAACAAAATTATTTCCTATACTTTTTCTTTTTTGTACTTTTTTCTCCTTTAAATATGGTGGTGGCAAATTTGTCAGATTATGTAGTCAAGATGTTGCTCAGCAGGGTGGAAAAAAATTATTTTTTAGGATTAAGCAATCAAAAGTTTATTGCATAGAATTTAAGAAGTACTTTATAATAGCTTGTAGTTAATTAAATATAATAAACAATTAAGTTTACAAGTATTTTAATTATTTATGGCATATATTTTTGTATTTATATGTATTATATTTTTAAAAATTATCTTTTTTTTGTATTCTGATTCACTTCCAAAAAAGGTGCAAGCAACCTCTATTAAGTTGGGAGCTACTAGAAAAAATGACAAATAGAGTTAAAAAGCAAGGAAACGGTTGACAGTTGTAGATTGTACGAGTCAAGGAAACATGAAGATGGACAAAAGTTCCAAAGGGTTGAAGAGCAAAGAAAAAGATTGAACAAAAAAAAAAATTGTAGCATGCAAAGACAGATACAGTAAAAGTGTGAGACTTTCCTGAATGTCAAATCAAGCAAGAACTTTGGTTTAAAAGATTGTAGAAAATGGAATCAGGAGTAAGAAAATGGTGAGCACAATAAAGAGAAGCATCCTTAGCTGATGCTAATCTAACAATTGGTTGTAAATGCGGTTTCTATGCGAGATCAGTTGTTAACAATAATCCAAGAAAACGTAAAGAAGAGGACTCGGTGAGAGTGCTGCCATTCATCATTATAGGAATGTTGTCAGTATTATCAAAGTTGTTTGCAGTAAATAACTGAGTTTAGTTGGAGTTAAAATTTACAAACCACTGCAAGCCCCAATCTGTTGCAAAAGTGAGTTTCGATCAGGTTTAAGATCATCTGCCTGTTCTAAGCAATCAAAAAGAGAAGAATTTTTGTCAAGAACAGAGTATAATAGTTGAGTTTATCAGTAAATAGAGCTGCTTCAAGATCATGAATGTAGATAAGAAACAAAATAGGACCAAGTAAGAAATCTTGTGGTTTCTCTTGAGGTTGGTTTTTATGGATGACTTTAATAAAGCAGTTAGAAAAAAATGATTTAATAATCTCAAAAACTTTCACAGATACACCATATGAAGCAAGCTTATGAAGATCAACACGCCAAGCTTCATCAAAAGCTTTAGGTATGTTGAAAACAATAGTCCTAGCTTAGAGGAATAGTTCGTTGCCTCCAACTAGTGCACAATAAAATCTTTCAGTCGCAGAATGATTATTTTTCAAGATGAGTATTTTTAAGGACACACAATCTCTAGCCTTTACTCAATCAAGAGCCCCATGGCAGGGGAATTTTAGCTGAATGCAGTTAACATATGCCCATAATGAGTATTTTTATCGAGACACCATCTCTAGCCTTTACTCAACCAAGAACCCCAGACAACACATTGTTAACTCAGAGTTTAATTTTCCTAGCCTTTGCCTAAGAAAAGCAAACCCTATAAGGCAGCAGTGCATGGGGCATCAAGTTTGCTTACTTTAATAATTTCAAATGTAATATTTTAAAATAATTTTTATAATTGTATAATTTTTAAATAAATTTTTAAACTTTTTTATTAAAAACATGTTGTTTGTTGTGTATTTTGGTATATAAAAATCCTGAAATGAAATAAAATTTTCCATCATTCAAGTTGTACAGTTGTCACTTAGTAATAATTTTCAACTGTGCCATTCACTTTCTTACATACAGAAGTTAAATAGTATTAAAATGTCTTTATTGTATTTATTTGATTACTTGTTTGTACCTAGAAATGTTGGTCCAGATTATCATTAACAGTTTTTTTTTCAATCATACTACAAGCAACTTCTTTAGCCCCTCTTAATTATAAATGTTTACTAAATTAGCTTAGATAAGAGGAAGCATTTTACAATGTATACCTTATTTTTGTGATTGTAGTAACCCTCTTTAGTCTTTCATTATTTACAAGTAGAAACAAAATGACTTAAGTGGTAAGAAGAAATGTTTATTTTTTTTAATATTTATTTTAAAGATTAAAAAATGTAAACAAAAAACTTTTTGTATTGATGAAGTTTCTTGTGCTTCTATTTAACTCATTTGCAATTTTTTTGTTGATGAAAAGTTTTTTTCTACACTTGAATGTCACAACTATATGTTGAACGAAAAAAATTATTTCTATTTAGACAGGTTTCTTGTTTGCTTTTAGCTTCTTAAATAATAATATAATGGTCTATGCAGTACTTTTTTTATATAAATATAGTAATATAAATGATCCATATGACCTTATGAATTTTTTGATTAAATTGTTATGTATTAATTTAATTACTTTTTTATGATGTTTTGGATTTAGATGAGTCTCCAATCACTTGCAAATTGTTTATTGATTTGAATGGCTTACAAAAGTATGTCAGACTAATCGAGGTCTGTCTTTTATTTTATTTTTTAATGTTTTTTAAATGAAAATAGTAATTAAAGAAAATGTAATATGTAATATTAATTATAAATGTATTTATTTTGAATGTAAATTAAAATAAGAATTTATAATTATGTTTAGATGCATAAGTTTAATATTTAAAAATGTAAATGTTTTTTTTTTTGAAGACTTTTAATGATGATCAAATGATAACTAAAGTACTTGGTCTGCTTGTAAGTATCAAATGTATTTACACACAATATATGTATGTATATATATATATATATATATATATATATATATATATATATATATATATATATATATATATATATATATATATATATATATATATATATATATATATATATATATTGCGTTTAGCTTATTCCTGGTACTGTGGGTAACAATAATATATATACTATAAATACTCTTGTTTATCTATTAAGTGCTCTTTTAAGTATACATTTATATTATGCATGATAATATAAAGGTATTTTGTTTATTTATATATATATATATATATATATATATATATATATATATATATATATATATATATATATTTATATATATACACTTATGTGTGTGTATATATATATATATATATATATATATATATATATATATTATATATATATATATATACATATATATATATAGTGTAGACTATCCAAAATGACTAAAGTTGCTATTTTAACCTCCCAAAAGGGATTTCTTGCCGGTTATGGTCAACCGGTTAAAAAAAATTCAGTGTTTTAAAAAAATAAGTTTTGACAAATAATTGGAATTTTATTCGGAAAATACTATATTTTTATAAAATCATTTAAATTTTAAAAAAGCGTTTAAAATAGTATTATTGCTAATGGTATGATACTTTAATTGCTACCAGGTTGTTAAAGCCAAAAGTTTAAAAACGAAAAGATGTTAAAGTGAATTTTTTTTATAATACTGTCTGGCTTTTATCTTTGTTTTTAAAACATCCATTAAATTAACTAAAACATTCATTCATTAAAAATTAATAATTTTTAATTATTGTCTATTGTCTCAATTAAAATTATATTTTTTCATAATTAAAATGAATAACTTCTTAATAATTTTATATTATTAATTCTACTACTTTAAATATATTCAATATATTCTTATTAAATTTAGCTTTGTTAAAATTTTTATCTAATAAATATTGCATGTTAATAGAAATCAGTGGTTAACCCTGAACCCAATAATTCACTTCGTTGATTAATATATTATAAATGACATAGACTATATCTAATATATATGTATCAATTACTACTTATTTACAGAGCAGGAAATGTCAATACTTTGTATCTTTTCCCTTATTTTTTAGCACAGCAGCTATTCTGTGCGGCATTAATAAACACAACTTTTCACAGTAACTCACAGTAATTTCAGTGGCCCAAACTGCTTTCACAGTTTCCTGCAATTCAGCCATAGATGTAGGATTTTTAGCAGCCACCTTCGCCTTCAAATCAACCCAACAGTTTTCAATGGGGTTGAGATCTTGCGAGTTGCTAGGCCACGGCCCGAAAATGTTAGTTCTCTGTTGTTGTAGCCAAGCCTTGATGGTTGCAGCTTGATGGCAGAGTGCGCCATCATGTTGGAAATAGTTGCATTGATGTATAGGCATGAAAATAGGCAATTTATTCTTTAGAATGCTAAGGTATACCTTAGCATTAATTGTGGTTCCTTGTTGCATGAACCATAAACTACTTCTGCCATGAGCACTGATTGCACCCCATATCATGATCTTTGGTGCATTTTTGACTGTTGGAACCACAAACCGCTCATTGTAGCATTCTCCGGGTGGGCGACTGATGTGTCTGGTAAAAGCATAAAACTGACATACTGTGGACTCATCACTAAACATTACAGAATTCCACTGGTCCATTGTCCAATGTTTATACTTATTACAAAATGCTAACCTGTCCCGGATGTTTTTAGCAGAAAGCACTGGCTTCTTTGCTGGTTCTGTAGGATTTTAGTCCAACTTGCATATATACATATATTTATACATACCAATGAGAGTTAATAACATATTATTAACTAAATGATACCCCGTTTATACTGACAATAAAACACGTTTTATTTTAAATGCTCATTGAATTTTTATTATAAAAAGGTGCAAAAAACAACAATAAAACAGTACTGAGATTTTGTTTTGTCAATATAAAAACAACCATGTTGTCTTATTGATGTTTTATTCAGTTTATAGCATTAAAAACATAAAATGCATTTTACTTCATTTTTTTTTTTTTTTTTAATTTCAATTTCTTCAATTATTTTTCTTGTAGCTTTTCCCTCCATTTGCGAAGTCATTGCAATGAAATAAATTATTTTTGAATAAATTAAAAATTATTAATTGCCTTTTAAAAAAAACATTGATTTTATATAAAATTATTTTTATCAAAATAATATGAATTCTTTAATTTTCAAGCATCAACTTATTTTTGTATTTATAAAAATAACTTTAACAAAAAAAAGTTTTTGAAAAATAATTGACCATCATTTCTCATGTTGGCTGGTTGAATTGACTTCTGGCCTTCGATTTCTTATTTTCCACGCTGTATATATATACACTGTGACATAACACTAAAATAACCTGTTTCTTGGGGCTTTATTACATACATCTACTATCTTATAGCTACTGCAAAGTAGTGTTGCTACATTGACTGAGGGTTTAACATGTGGCAGTAATATTTTCTTTTATTATTCACTTTTTTCTTTTCTTTCTGAAAAAACTGTATGCTGTATAGATAAGCAAAAGTAGAAAGCATTTTACTATTTATAAATTAAACTTGGAAATAAAATTTAATAAAGAATAAATACACAATGAGCAAAGAAACTCAAAGTAAAATCGGGTCTATTTTGATATTGATGAAAACAATTATTCGAAAGCCATTTGTAAGTTTTGCAAAAAAAAAAAAAAAAATCAAGAGGAGGGTTTATGTATCCAAACTGTATAGTTTCGATCCATAAGTCATATAATTTCTGTTCTAAATTTAAAAAAGATGTTAAAAAAGTAAGGAGCCCTTCGTAAAAAACTGTTTAAAATATTTCAAAAGGTTTAGTGGTTGCAGATATGTCTATATAATAAATTAGGCTTATACATGTATTTTTGTTTATAGAATAATTTTATTTTTGCATAATGTAGAAACAAAAAAATAATAAAACTGATGTTCTCAAAACACTCGGAATCAACACATGGTTACCAAAATCGATGCAGATGCATTGGTGCACCTATAATATATATATAGTTATATAGATAAATAATTACCAATCTTTATAGATTATTTTATATAAATTATATAAAATTGGCTTTTGTAATTATATATTGAATAATAAGTTTGACAATTTTAAAACTTTTTTAATGTTTTTGTTATGTAACTCAAATTTTTACTCAAAATTTTTTACATCTGCTTACAAATAAACAGATCTTGTTCAAATTATTAGTTATACAATTATTTTTGTTGAGTTTTATTTTTTTGTTTTAATGGAGTAATATTTTATATATTTAAAAAGTAATGGTAGTTAAATAGTAATTTAAAACATTTGTTTGCATAATAAGTTAATAATTAAATCTAAGTCAAGTAAATTATATATTGAATTTTTAAAATTTTTTGAATTGAAGTTATAAAAAGTTTAACAAGAGTTAAAAAACTCTACATTTTCTACAGTTTCTATGTTTGCATCAGTTTCTTTTTTTTATTGTACTTCTTCAATTCGAAAGTTTGTCAATTTTGTCATCCATGTTATGTAAATTTGAATTGTGTTATTTTTAAATCACGTTTTTTAAATATAATTTAAATTTTCTTTTAAAAAAGTTTTGAATTTTTTGTGTTTTTCATTACAGTTGCATTTTTATGCAATAATAAAATAAAAATCAACCTAAAAAACATCAATATATTGAGCTCTTTTTTTAAGAAAATGTTATACTTTGTAATTATAAAAATAAATATTTGTTTTTCCCACATAACCTGGCACAAATTTGAGTTAGGCACCAGCAAAAGACTCCTACACCAAGGAAAATCTTTACATATGTAAAGTACATTGAGATACTTTACTATAGTTGATTTAGGTGTAAAGGCTGTTTGGTTGATGTTTATCCCTTTTTATCCCTGTTTTCATTTTATGTAGACCTATGTTAGAAATTTTTGATTATCAATTGGTTTTTAATATTTAAATTATTTAGAGGGTTTTTGTTGCTTTTTTAGAACAATATTGCAGAAGTAAAGTCGTTACAGTGCATCTTGTTGTTAAATCCTCAGTTAATGAAACACATCAGGTAGTTTTTTTTTTTTAGTATATTATGAAGGAATTATATAAATTCTCAAATCTCCCACTTAAACGTGAATCTTGGCATAAGGCAGCTAAATTAGAAAACAAATTGATAAGATAATGTAATATTTATATATTTTTATATATATAGTAATATCATATACCATTAGTAATTTATGATTACATGATATATTATAAATGGGTATAAAAATGAAGAAATAAATTTATTTTAGACGCCTTGTATCAAGTGGTGAAGTACAAGTTAGTTACTTTGCTTGTGGTATTATTGCAAATCTTGCGATTAATTGGAACAAAACTCCACTTCAACTTGATTATCTTGAAACTAATAAAGTTTTATCAGAAGTGGTATGTTTTTTCTTTTTTATTATTACTTTTAATCTTTTTTTGTAAATAACTATGATTTTGTAAACAGTGTAATATGATGGCTTATGTCATCCAAGGAGTTTTTATCACTATTATTACTTTAGTTAATAAATTATTTAAATTAATTGATTATAGTTTTATGTCCATAGCTACCTATTTCAGTATAAATATTTTTAAATATATTGAAAAATAATTTTATTACTACTTTTAAAATGTTAGGCTCAAGCTGTAAAAAGATGGGGAAAAATCGATAAAGAAATAGTTACATACAGGTTTTTACTCTATACTTATGTTTGCGTGTGTGTGCATGTGCTCATTAATTTTGAAAATATTGGCTTTAATCTAGAAGGAAAAAAAAAATTTTTTTACCATAATAAATGTTGCTTGTACATAGACAATGCCTGGCTAAACTCAAATTTTGTGTATATTTATTTTTATTTTATGCTATATTTTGCTGTACAATGTTCATATATCCGAAGATATAAAATCCTGGTATAAGAAACTGACTTGCAATTAACTGTAATTTGTGTTTCAAAAAAGTTTTCAATGTTTTTAAAAAAATTTCAAAACATAGTATAAAATTAAAACAATATATTTTATAATGTTTATCTTGGACAATATATATATATATATATATATATATATATATATATATATATATATATATATATATATATATATATTATATATAATATATATATATATATATATATATATATATATATATATATATATATATATATATATATATATATATATATATATATATATATATATATATATATACATATATATCTATATGTATGTATATGTGTGTGTGTGTGTGTGTGTGTGTATATATATATATATATATATATATATATATATATATATATATATATATATATACATATATATCTATATGTATGTATATGTGTGTGTGTGTGTGTGTGTGTATATATATATATATATATATATATATATATATATATATATATATATTATATATATATATATATATATGTATATATATATATATATAGCCCCCAGAATTCAGCAATTTCAACCTAATGGCCAACCTTAAAGAGTTTAAGGTCAGCAAAAAATTGCCGACCCTGTTTCTATGTCTTAGGTAAGACCTTTGTATCAATTTTTTTTTGCCGACCTGATGCCAACCTCTAAAAAATTGAGGTCAGCAAGTTATTGCAGACTTTATTTTTCCTAATTCTGATATATATATATATATATATATATATATATATATATATATATATATATATATATATATATATATATATATATATATATACATATATATATATATATTGTATTTATACATATACACAGTGCTCGAAGTGAGGCGGGATGCCATCCCGTCACTTTTTTATAAAGTATAAATCATCCCGCCACCTTTTTATAAATATCTATATATAACAATGATTAGGCAGGATGGTATTTTTAATTTACAATCTTGTTACTTTTTCTCCACTTCGAGCACTGCATTTACATATACATCAAAAATATTCATATAAATATACATACACATCAAAAAACACATATAAACTGCGAAACCATTTTTTTTTTAAATGAAGAGTCACCAATATATTAGATTTTTTAAACAAATACAAAATTTCATTTTACCTTTTTTCTGTATTTGTTTTCACAGCATTAAAGTATAAAGTTTAACTTACACAAAAGTTTCTTCTAAGCTATATATTGAATATAAAATATTGAATTTTATTAATGTTCAATGTTGATTATTTCATTTTTTTATTTCAAGTTCATTTTTTTTTCAATGTCTAGATGTTTGCAATAAAAAAAAAAACATCTATCCTACCTACCTCTTCTCATTGTAAAGGTGTTTTAAAGAAGAGCAAAATAAGGAAAAATTCTAGATTTTTCTTACACATTTTTTGAAAATATTTTTATATTCTTTTTAAAATATTCTGGGTTGAAATCTATAGTAAGATCTTCTCCAAGCTTTCTGAAGAAAGGCATGAGATTAGGCGCCTTTTTTGACCACACATATAATATTTTGCTTTAACAACATGACCATGGCACTCTGTATGTTTGAACAAATTAAAAATTAACAAACCATAAACTGAAAAGAGAATAATAAAATAAATAAAAGATAAATTAGAAAAATTAATAAATAATAGTCTCAATTAATAGTTCAAACCTAACAATTCTTTTAACCCCTTTTCGCATTTGAAATTCAATTAACCCCTTTTCGCATTTGAAATTCTTTTAAACCCCTTTTCGCATTTGAAATTCTTTTACCCTCTTTTCGCATTTGAAATTTAATGATAGTATTATAACATGCACTATGATTTTAACCGTATATTTTAATAGGATATATTATTGAAAATTTATTTCCAAGTTTAATGTTGAAACATTCAAATAATCTTGTTGTATAGACTATATTTCCAACAAAATGGCGATTGGAGGCGTTAAACACTGTTCTGAAAAGTTCTTTAGCTAAAATATCTTCTAGAAATATCAATCTAGAAAACTAAGATTAAAAAATTAAAATGGCGATACCATGGTGATATCGCTTTTAAGTAACAAAGTTTGTTTTAAGTTTTCTCAAGTTTGTAATTATATGTAAGTTTAATATATGTATTTGGTTTAATTATGTAAAATTTTATTTATTATTATGCATATTTTCAAAGTATTTAATTTTTTTTTTGATTTCTGTGATACTGAATAATATTGGTCCAACAAAAGAGGTCATATGCCTCATTTTTGTATTCAAACTGATGTTGTGGGCATTGACTAATTGAAGATATATTACTAACTGTAGATAGTATTTTTTATTGTTGTAAACTTCATGGCAGCTCAACCTTAACATAAATAAAATATGATAAACATATATAAAATATGAAAAACATATATAAAATATGAAAAACATATATAAAATATGAAAAATAGTGGATTGTGTCTTAACAAAGTAAGAAACCATTTAAAAATATTTCACACCTAATTGTTATTTGTTTTTATGCATATTTTGTTTGCATAATTGATTTTTTTAAATACGTCATTCCTGCATAGTTTTATTTTATATTCTTATAATTTTGTATCATGCATGCATGTCGTATATGATACAATTTTAAAAATCATAAAAACCCATATTTTGGAGCAAAATTTTTTTTTTTACATTAGAAATTTTTTTTTTGCTCTATAAAATGCATATAATATAAATATTATAACATAAAAAAATTACTTATGCAGAAAAAATAAATTTATTCAGCAAGGGGGTTAATTCGAAACATCTAAATACTTTAAAGCTAATAATTTTTAACTTATCAGAATGACAGTGTAGTACTTGGAATGATGTAATATTTTATAAATGAGACACAAGTTTTAGTTTAGGTATTGGATGTAAGTTCAAATTCTTTTAAATGATCTTTTTTTATGTTTTATTTACTAAGTAGACATTAGAAAAAATCAATTTTTTTTTTAAATAACTAGGTTTCAAAGTAATTAAGTTTAGATTACATAACTTCAAAACTTCTTCGATCTCTTCTAAATTCTGAAAATTTTTAAATATTAAGTGAAAGACTTTTAAATAAAAAAATACATTAATTTTATGCTTTCCTTTCAGTTTATGGTTAATTGATTTTTAATTTTTTTTTCTGTTTAGTTTGGTTTTTTTAGCACATTTTTAAAACACTCAAAATATCAAAACGTGCAAAGAGCCATGGCCAGGTTTTCAAAACAAAATATAATTTGTTTGGTCAGATAAGGCGTACAACCCCATGTCTTTCTTCAGAAGACTTGTTTCTGCCATGTATTTTTGCCCAAAAACACTTAAGATATTTGTAGAAATACCTTCAACCTAAAAGAAATACTTTTTGAGCAAAAAAATGGAGTCAATAATGGAAACTTTATATAGTCTTCTCTAGCATTTTAGAACCCTAAAAACATCAGTTAATCGATTGAAAAAGTTATTTTAAAAATAAATTTGAGTCTGGTTTCCAAGGAGTCCCTATTTTTCGATGTTGGAGTCTGGAGTCCTGGAATCTATAAAAATCAATAGGGCGTTCGCATCCCTGTTAATTTCTAATGAGAAATAATAATACTTTTTTAAAAAAAGAATTTCATTTGTTTAGATCATTTAAGCCATTCTATAATATTTTGCAATGTCATCAAATGCAAGAAATTCAACGCTGGGCTATTTGGGCAATTAATCATGTTTGCACATTATGTGGTGAATTTATATGAAGTTTATTTTGTTAATTTGTTATTGTTTCAAATAATTATTAGCACTTAATTAATTCTCTTAATTAGTAAAAAATTAAAAAGCTTATTTTATTCTATATTTTATTTACTTTGTTATTCTAGCTTCTCAATATCAAGATTTGATGTCAAATGATTATATCGAATTGATTGCTGAAATAAGAAAAAATAATATATCAGATGAATTTATAACAAAACACTGTGATGAAATTTTTTCAGCACTAAATAAGGATCCATTAAAAATTAAAAAATTATAAAATTTCTTAATATAAAATTGTATTTGTAAATTTAAATTACTTTTTAAAATAAATTTGTGTAACTTTATATATATATATATAAATATATATATATATATATATATATATATATATATATATATATATATATATATATATATATATATACATATACATATACATATACATATATCTTTACATACATATTTATATATATGTATACACACAGACACACGTACATAGATAAAACACTAATATTGTGCCAGCTTAAATTTGTTTTAAATATATATATATATGGGTTTTAATATTTATTTAATATATATATATATATATATATATATATATATATATATATATATATATATATATATATATATATATATATATATATGGGTTTTAGTATTTATTTAACCTTGTATTTTTGTATCAAAAATTGGTGGAAATTTTTTATTCTAAGGTTCTAATAAAAACCTTTTTTTTTTTTTTTTTTGAACCCACTATAAACCTTTAATTTTAGCTTTATATATATATGTATATATATATATATATATATATATATATATATATATATATATATATATATATATATATATATATATATATATATATATATATATATATATATAATTATTATTTTTTTGCAGTTACTGTAATGTTGTAGAATTTTATAAATCTTACACTAAATAAATAAATTTAGATGTGTTTTTTGGTTGTTAAGAAAAAAGTCTTTTTTTATAAATGAATAATTGTTTTGGTTCATAATCATCAACTTTTTACAAATGTTTAAAAAAATACTTTAGTTTAATCGTTTTTAATTATGTTTTGAAAAATACTTTGGTAGTTTGTATTAGTGTTTTATTTCAGTAAATAAACATAAGTTATTTCAAGATTTATTTGTTTTGATTTGTTTTGATAGTAAGTCATATTTTAAAAAACAAATACTTAAGCTGTTAGTAACCATTAGTTACATCATTTTTAAACTTTTGGCTTCTTTATTCACTTCTAAATTTTTTTTAATTTTTTTTATAATGAACAAAAATAAAGTATTTTTAATTTTTCTTCTGCTAAGATTTTATTCAAACCAAGAAATCAAAGATGATAATAAACCCGGGTAAGTGAGTTTTGTAGCAAATCAGGGTAAGTAAATTTTGCAGTATTTTATGATTTGAAGTACTTATCAAGATTATTTTTGAATGAAACCATTCATAAAACTATAAAGAAAAAGTTTCAGCAATATCTTAAAAAATCTTTTTATTCTTTATTATTAAAATGCATTAATATACATGATTAAAATTGATGGTGGTGGTGGTGGTAAAAGATCATTATAATGATGATAATAATGATCATTATAATGATCATGGTTAAAATCTTGAAAGTTTACATAACTTACATGATGATTTTAATGTTGATAGGGTTTTTGGAGAATTATTCTAATTTAAAAAATAAAATTTTTTTAATAATTGATTTTTATAATTTTTTTATCGATATTAATTTATTTTTAATAATTTTCAGCCCTATTTTGTTACGATTAAATCCAAACAATGAAGTTCAAGTAGATTTTCTTAAATCATTGAAACGTGATAAACATAATTTAAAGGTACCTTTTTATTATATTTTTTTTACCTTTTTTATTATTTTTTCAATTTTTTTATGAGTTAGTAAAGTATGATTCTAAACATTTTAATTTTTTGTTTTAAAAAGTTCCAAGTTTGGAGAGATGCAGATTTACCTGGTCACCATGTAGACATATGGGTTGCTCAGAAATCTTACCATGATTTTCTTATCTACATTCGAAAGGTTGGCATTCAACATGAAGTTTTGAGTGAAGATTTGTACAAAAGTATCGGTCATCGAAATATTTCATTGATTGGTATAGAAACATTTGATAGCAACTACCAAGATTTTGAAGAGGTACAATAAGTTGGCTTATGAAAACAGTCTAAAAGTTTTTAAAATAATTTCTAACTTATGATTTTTTACTATTATTTGGTATACATTTAGGTACATTATTTATAACAGTATTTTTAGATTGTTGCTGAGATGACTCGGTTGTCATACTTTTATAATGATTCTGTTAAAATGGAGAAAATTGGAATGTCTTATGATGGACGGTTTATACATGCAATAACAGTAAATCAACTTTTTTTAAAGTGTTTTATATTAGTAGGAGTTGTATCTGTAATTACAATTGCATTTTCAACATCTTTTTTTTTCATTAAATTATTTAAGTGCTGCTCATAGTAGCCCATAAAACAAGATGGAGCCCACAAAACATAGTTGGGACCCATAAATCAAATATGTGGTTATTTAGAATGTGTATAACAATTTTTATAGAAAATGGATAAAGCAACTTATATAAGTAAATCCACTTTATAATTCTATTATACACTATTCTAATATAAAATATTGTTGTTGTGTTGTTTTTGTTTTGTGTTATAAAATTGTTAATAAATACTATTATATTATAAAATCCAAATAATGTACACAAATGAGTCATTTTTACAATCAATAACTCTTAAGTTTGTTCAATGATTAATTTTTGTAATCAATTATTATTATAAATATTTTTAAGTTATTATTATATTTATTATTATTATTAGCTATATTTATTTGAATAATTTTATTAACTACACTATTTTCATTTGAACGATTTTATTTAAAATTAAATTAAAAGACAAATTCTTTTCTGCTACAAATAGTCATTTATTATCAACATTTTATCAGCAGTTATTTTGAGTGCTAACTACGCCTGAAATTTTGAGTGCTAACTACTTACAAAAGTAAGTAATTAGCGCTCAAAATTTCAGTCGTTTTTTTTTTTTGCGAAAAAAACGATATTTGCCCTAAAAAACCTAAAAATAAAAACAACAAAAAAGGTCTTCAAATTTTAATTTGAGCGGCACCCAAATATGGTTGATGCTATTAAAAACGGTCTAGAATAGCCCCTGACATTTCGGTTCAACTACTTACATGTCACTACAACTAGTTACATTTTACTACAACTGCTTATACCAAGCATACTTTTTATTCCATGTGTGCTTCTAAAAAATGTTAGGTAACAATTAGTCACATGGTATAGCTATTAATTTTGCACACTTTTTTATATCATCATTTTTATTGTTCTGAATATCTGTTCAACATATATTTATCTCTCCTTAGTATTTTCCTTATTTAATTTGGGTTTGATAACTTGGTCTATGCTTATGTTCCAAATATTTTCGTTTATTTATTTTTTATGTTTAGATTAGAGAGCTACAGCTATTTTCCACACAGTTTTATCACACACCTCTGTAAAGATTTTTTTTTACTAATAACTTTTTTATATTTTTATTAATGTTCTCTATTATTTTTCTTTTCTCCTTATCATTTATTCGTTGCATATATAACATTTGCCTTATCAGGCTTCTTGTTAATCTTTTAGGTGAGTTGCTTTTGAATTTTTTTTTCTACAATTCACCCTTCTTTATACAATTCCATGGAACCTAAATCACTCAGATTGCTATAATGGTTTGTTCCAAGGTATTTTCTTTATTTGACCACATTAGTGTTTCTTCTCCTATTCTGACAAAATTGCTTTTATTTTAGTTTTTTTTTTTTATTGATTCACCTCTTTTTTTCATATTGTTAACCTCCCCAAGCCCAAGAAGGCCACTACAATCAAGGCGGCTACTTTCTGTGGTTACAACTCTCTTAACTCTTTAACTTCAAAACATGAACCTTGATGAACAACGCCGTTGCATGGAGAAACAAGTTAAGTGCAGTACTACCAGGTACATGGGGGTAATCAAACTTGGAACTTCTTGCTTATGAAGCAAGCGCTCTAACACTACCCCATAACTGGTTATAATTAGTTACTACGCCATTTACTGACCAGTAAATGGCGTAGTAATCAATTATAACCAGTTACAATAGTTTTCTATGAGTATAAACCTTTTATTCATATTCATATTCATATGCTATTGTTTTGTAAATATCTGTATATTTAGAATTGCTGTTCCTGACAATAGTTGTAGTGTTTAGGTTACATGTTCTGACGTTAGTTATTATTTACTTAGTTCACCTACATAATAACAATACTATTTATATCTCTCATTTGTTTTTATTTTCAATATTTACTTCTTTTTTGCCATCATTTTTAACCTTATCTATCTCTCTTTTTTATTTTATTTACAATATTTACTTTTTTTTGCCATCATTTTTAATCTTACTTATCTATCTCTCATTTGTTTTTATTTCCAATATTTACCTTTTTTTTTCATCATTTTAATATTTGGAGATTTCTTATTTATGTATTATATGATACATAAATTAGAAATCTCTAACTAATCTCTAACAGTGTTATTAATGACTTCATATGATTATATTTTTTTATTATTTTTAAAGCTTTTAAACTATGAAATTAATTTGTTTGAAAAATGATAAATTATTTATATTCTACTTTTTTTAAATTATTTATAACCTACAGTCCTTTTTTAAAATTATTTTTATCTTAACATCCTTTCGAAAAGTCTAAATTGATACTTAAATTAATGTATTAAATGGATGCTTAAGTGATATTTTATAATAATAAATTTGATAATTTAGTTATCCCTTTTCCAAATTTTTTGGCAACACCAGTATTGTACTTCTTATATAACTTGTATATTAAAGTTCTTACATTTTAACATGTTTGTTTACATGAACTCTATTTACTTTGTTAATATTGCTTATAAAATTCAATTTTAGATTTGTATAAAAAAAAGTTTTCTTTTTAAAGGTTTTCCACAACTCTTCTTTAATCAAACCTAAAATTGTCATTAATTGTGGTGTACACGCAAGAGAATGGCTGGCAATTTCTTCTTGCAAATATGTTTTGAGAAAGGTTACAATTAAACTTACAATTTACTTTTTATTTGAACTTTTTATAACTAACCTTTTTATAGAATTTACAAGAAAATTAATTTTTGTTTTATTATATAAAGATTTTTGTTTTTCTTTCTTTATAGCTAGTATTTAATCAAAATTATGATGCTGATATCAGCAAATTATTAAAGAACTATGATGTCACTATAATTCCAATATTAAATCCTGATGGTTATATTTACTCTAAAAGGGTTAGCATAATTTTTTACTAAAATATGTTCCATATTATTTATGTGTGTTAATTACAAATAATAAAATCTCTAAAAATATAATTATTTACATATTATATCAATAATAAATTTTGTGCAAGTTAGTTGCATTATCATCTAAAAGGTTTTTCTACTATAACATTCTGTAACATCTACTATGTTATGAGTTTGCCTGCAGCACACTGCACAAGTTTACTCTTCAGATCAGGTCATGATTAGGATAATTGTGATTCTCCTACTGTTGGTAATATGTGGTCCAGTACAACCTTTCTCATGTTCTGTTGCCTTGTAGGACTCCCTTTTCTATGCAAAAATTAGGAGAAGTTAACTCAGACCTAAAACACCCCTGTTGTATCTAAGACTTTAGAGGGAAGCAGAAAATTTTTTATTGACCAGTTCTTTTTTATCTAATAGGCTGGTGTAGATGTAAACCTGTGTTATGCTTTTTTCTGTCTAGGATTATGAACACTAAATCTTCCTGACATTACTCATTGGTTTTTTCTTGCTTTTTTTTTGGTAGTGGCTATGTAATTCTTTCTGTTATCTTCTGAGAGTACAGCTCTAAAACTCAGTTTGATGGTTTTGATGAGGCTGGCTTGTGATAAGGTTTATGAACTCTGTAATAGGTCTCAGAGAGGCTATATTAGCAGCTGTAAAATATATGAGTGCTAGGTGTGCCATGTTGCACGTCATTATTGCAAGTCATTATTTTGATTGCCCAGAACATGCAGCCAATCTTGAATATGAACTCTCTGTGACAGCTTGGGGCTTGCAATAGCTGGTAAATTTTAATCCAAACAAAACTCAGTTGTTTACTACTAATATTTATTGTAAAATTATTGATTTTCAATTATTGATAAATGATAATACAGATGAATAATACCTTACTGAGTCCTCTACTTTTTGTCTTCTCTGATTATATGAAATAAATTTCAAAAGTTCTATATAAAAAATTTATATAAAAGTTTATATATAAAACTTTTTTCACATTTTTTTTTTGTCTTTTTTTGTCTTAGTTATGCTATATCTTTGGGTACAGAGTATTTCTTTTTTTTGTGCATGTAATTGAGATTAGTTGATAATGAAAACCATTTTTTTGCAGAGTTGTATTAATTTGTTGCATACTTGTTGAAACTTCTCAACTTAATTTTATTTATTTTTTCAAATTTAATATATTTAAAATATTTTTAGTACAGGATGTGGCGTAAGTCGCGATCAAAAACAACTGACCAAAATTGTAATGGTGTTGATATAAATCGAAACTTTGGATACAGGTGGGGAAGTAAGCTGTTGAGTTTTTTAATAATATATGTTGAATATATATGTGTGTGTGTATATTTATAAATATGTCTGTAAATAGCATATATATATATATGTATGCGTGTGTGTAAATATATGTGTGTGTGTATATATATATATATATATACATATATATATATATATATATATATATATATATATATATATATATATATATGTGTATATATATATATATATATATAATATATATATATATATATATATATATATATATATATATATATATATATATATATATATATATATATATATATATATATATATATATAGCCCTCGGAATTAAGGTCGGCATTTGTCAATGTAGACCTCGTTTCTATGTTTTATGTTTAGACCTTTGTGTTAAAAAATTTATTGCTGACCTGATTTTTTCTAATTGCGAGGGCTATATATATATACATACACATTGAAAATTTAAGTCCTCATTTTTAAACTCACGTAAACTACTTAAACATACTCCATTAATGACACATTTATACCATGGTAACGTTTACGCCCATTAATTCATTTTGACTCTTAAGCAGACTTTAATAATCTTTGATATACAGAAAAGTTTTCTTGCATTTGCATGTTGTAAACGACTTTTTTTAACAGTTTTTAATTCTTTTGACTTTATCTACTTTGAATTCAAGAAGTTTTCATTTGTCTTGTTATAAATATTAATAAAGCTATGAACTTTTTTATGTTACACTTAAGTAATATAATAAGAATGTGTTTAAGAGTTTTAGAATTTTGTTTTAAAATGTTTTTAACAAAAACAACAAGTATCAATTAATTTACATAACAAGAAAGCTAAAAATATTTATTGTAAAAAAAAAAAAAAAAGAGATTCATATCAAACTTATCTTAATTAGCTTTCGATAAGTTAATTTCATTAGAATATAAAAGTGAGTAAAAAAAGTATTTGAATAAATCTTTTGATAATGTTTTAAGTATTCAAACTTTCTAAATTTTTTTTTAAGTTTTTTTCTTACATTCCATTTTTTGTTCTTTTTTATATTTCACTACTTAACTTTTGTTTTTATTATGTTTAAAAAAATAGTTAAAATAGTCTTGTTAACTCTGTTAACCAAATAAATTCTTCTGTTAACCAAATAAATTCTTCTGTCAATCAAATAATTTTTTTTTTTTAACAGTTCCAAATTTACACTAAATTTCACTCACTTTTTGAGACCACTTCAGTGTATTTATTTTTTTAGGAATGTTAAGTTTTGAATTATTATTTTACAACATAAATATTGTATTAATTTTTTCAATTATTTTTTAGTATGAAGTTAAGTTTATTTACCTGATCATTTCACAAAAAGTAGTCTCTTTTAAAAGAGTAAGCAGGCAGTTAATAAGAAGATTTATTTGACCTTTTTTTGGTATTCAATTCTGTTTATAAAAGCACAAAAATGGTCAACTTTGTTATTATTTTTTTTTAACCCTGTCTTGCTAATTAACAGTATGCTAATGAGGCCAATGCAGACTAGGAATGCCAAAAATGTTTATTATGTACACACAAAAACTCTTTAAATCTATTAGAAACTAACCAATTGAGAATTTTCGGGGTTTTTTCAAATAAATAGTATAAACTTCTAACAGGCAAGTAAAAGGCAGTCTGCAGCTTAGTCTTTGTATTGTACTTTGTAAGTACTGCTTGTGCAAAGTGGACATAAACATGGTAAAACAAAGTTCAAAGGAGATTTTAATTCACTTTGTATAACTCACATTTGATAATGTGGCGGAAATAAATATAGAACAACAATTTTTATTTTAAAGATATTAGTTATTAATTGCTATATTTTTTGCTTTTTACTTTTTATAAAACAATTCATGTTTTTTTATTTTAAAAGCAGAAACATTTTTTTTCTAATTAAATCAGTTGTTCTGAAAATAGTTTTTTTCTAATTAAATCAGGTGTTCTGAAAATAGGTTTTTCTAATTAAATCAGGTGTTCTAAAAATATTTTTTATAAGGTGTATAAATTTCATTTACCAATAATACTAGTTTAAATTTAAAGTAAATGCATCCATTGAAATATATATTAACGCAGAAAATAGAATTATTTAAAAACAATAATAAAAACAAAATAGTCAAGTAAAAATTAATAATAATAAAAAGAAGATACATTTTAGAACCAATAATAACTTTATTCATTAATTAAAGTTAAATACTATTTAACTTTAATTAATGAATAAAAATATATATATATATGTATATATGTTATTTGTTTCAACTTATACAATATTTTATAAATATCAAAATATAGTTATTATGGATTATTAAATGTATTGGTAATTTCAACATTTAAATAGGTGGAGGTTCTTCATCAGATGTTTGTGCTGAGACATATTGTGGAACTCATCCGTTTTCAGAAATTGAAAGTTTGTCTCTTGCTCGTTTTCTTTATAAAAATCGTCGTTCTTTAAAAGCTTATATAGATGTACATACATTTGGTCAAATGTGGATTACTCCTTGGGGGTTTACTCATTCTATTTCAAAAGATTATAAAACACAAGTAATGGGTTGTCATGTTTTTTGTTTTTTTCATTAAATTAATATATATATATATATATATATATATATATATATATATATATATATATATATATATATATATATATATATATACATATATATATATATATATATATATATATATATATATATATATATATATATATATATATTTTCATTAAATTAATATATATATATATATATATATATACATATATATATATATATATATATATATATATATATATATATATATATATATACGTATATGTATATGTATATATATATATATATATATATATATATATATATATGTATATATATATATATATATATGTATATATATATATATATATATATATATATATATATATATATATATACGTATATGTATATGTATATATATATATATATATATATATATATATATATATATATATATATATATGTATATATATATATATATATATATATATATATATATATATATATATATATATATATACGTATATGTATATGTATATATATATTATATATATATATATATATATATATATATATATATATATATATATATATATGTATATATATATATATATATATATATATATATATATGTATATATATATATATATATATATATATATATATATGTATATATATATATATATATATATATATATATATATATATATATATATATATATATATATATATATATATATAAATTAAAATAATTTAAATGAAAAAAATACAACTTTATGATGGAACTAAAAGTTTCATGCCATTCGGCAATCATCAGCCATATTATTCAAATAAAAAATAAAAACCGTTATAAAAAATACAAATTTAGCATTGCAACGGCATCTGACGTCAATTATACGTGATCCGATATTTGCTAATCGCCGGAATCAAAGTTAGATAGTAAAAAATTTTTCCTGTGCCTACAAGGAAAGAGGTGTGCAAATTAGTTGGTATTTTTCTTCTTTTCCAGATTTTGCAATTTTATAATAAAACTGATTTTGGATTATATAGAGACGATGGCTTAGCCATATTTAAAAACGCAAGCAGTCCAGAAACGGAAAAAATTAAGAAGCATTTTACTCAAATACTTAAACAAAACAACCTCAGTATTTCCATTCAATCTAATATGAAAATTGTTAATTACCTTGATGTTACATTTAATCTTAATAACAACACTTTTCAACCTTACCATAAACCTGATAGTACGTTAAATTATACCCATGCTAATTCCAACCATCCACCAAGCATTTTAAAACAATTACTAATCTCAATTGGACATAGGTTATCTTCCAATTCTTCAAGCGAAAAAATATTCCAAAAGACTGCTCCAATTTATAATGACGAATTTAGAAAAATCTGGATTTCACACCATTCTCCAATATCATTCAAATCTAAATTCTTCTATTACTAATAAACGAAAAAGAAATATTATATGGTTTAACCCTCCTTACAGTAAAAATGTAATAACAAAAATTGGACATCTTTTCTTAAACTTAATTGACTTGCATTTTCCATTACATCATAAGCTCCACAAAATATTTAACAGAAACACAATAAAAATTACTTACAGCTGCATGCCAAATATTTGATCAATAATTAATTCACACAACCAACAAATTTTGCGCCACAAACTTACCGATAATGATATAAACTGCAACTGCATTAATAAAACCACATGCCCGTTAAATAATCAATGTCTATCAAAAAATGTTGTATATAAAGCCACTTTAGAATCACCTAATACCAGTCTTATCGAAAAATTCTACATCGGAATTAGTGAAAACACATTCAAGCTCAGATTTGCAAACCATCTTAAATCATTTAATGCAACCAGGTATAGGAATGATACGGAACTTTCCAAGGAAATCTGAAAACTTAGAGACGTGGGTAACATGCCTATAATTAAGTGGAACATAATTAAAAGATGCCAATCTTTTAAACCCATCTACAAAAAAGTGTAACCTTTGCATCAATGAAAAGTATTTTATTATGACTTTTGATAGTCGACTACTACTTAACAAAAAAAGTGAGTTGGTTTCTGCTTGTAGGCACAGGAAAAAAATTTTACTATCTTACTTTAATTCCAGCGATTAGCAAATATCGGATCACATAAAATTGACATCAGATGCCGTTGCAACGCTAAATTTGTATTTTTTATAATGGTTTTTATTTTTTATTTGAATAATATGGCTGATGATTGCTGAATGGCATGAAACTTTTAGTTCCATCATAAAGTTGTATTTTTTTCATTTAAATTATTTTAATATAATTTGATCTATTTTTTTAAAAAAATGATATTGATCACTCTTAGACAGACAAGAGTTGTATTTGCAGCAGTATACAACATTTATCAATAAATATATATATATATATATATATATATATATATATATATATATATATATATATATATATATATATATATATATATATATATATATGTATATATATGTATATATATATATATATATATATATATATATATATATATATATATATATATATATATATATATATGTATATATATATATATATATAACATTTATCAATATATATATATATATATATATATATATATATATATATATATGTATATATATATATATATATATATATATATATCAATAAATACATATATATTTGTATATATATATATATATATATATATATATATATATATAACATTTATCAATAAATATATATATGTATATATATGTATATATATATATATATATATATATATATATATATTATATATATATATATATATATATATATATATATATATCGGTTGATGTTTAATGTGTATTGCAATAATAATACAAAACTCTATTTCGGTTAAGAGTGCTTAATAAACAAGTTGCGACAACATAGCCATGGCATTTTAGATGCTTTAAGAACATTTCAAAAAGTGAAAAAAAAACTTAACTTGACTGAAGACAACTTCTAGAAAAACTAACTATAAAAAGTGAAGAATTCCTAAAGAAGAAAAAAACTTAACTAAAACAAAGCAAATTATGCTTAGAATAAATTATTTCTAAACTTCTCATTTTTATAACTTTTTTTATAAAATTAAGAGATAACTTTTATAAAAAGTAACAACTTGCTATTATCATTTAGTAAAGAAACCAATGTTCTTCAATTTATCAAAGCGCATAATATAAATATTTATTTAAGTATTTATTTTATTTCACAAGATTCTAATAAAACTAACGTTAGTTGAATTATATAATAAATAAAAAAGTAAATATATTTTTATAACCATTTCATGTTTTGCATAGTTTGCTATATATAACATAAGTTTAGAATATTTAAAACAATTCTTAAGTGAGATAAACAAAAGAAATAATTAAATCATTGCGTTACTATAAAAATTTTATAATAACCTTTTAGCAGTGTCTTTATGTTTAAAAAAATTCCACAATGCCTAGCGCATTGCGGAATTTTTTAAAAAACTATAAACCTCTGAAACAACCGTTTATAATCATCAGTTTCCAAACTGCACACTACGTATACATTTACTAACTTTATATTTTACTTAAGTCCTTTGGTGTATTTTACTATAATATGTATCATAAATTAATATATAAAAAGCATATTACATTCTAAGTAAATTATGATTTTATTTTGTGCTAACTAGAAGCACATTTTTATTGCATCAAATTATCATAAAGCAAACTTAAACGGTTAAACTAAAAAGGTAAAACATATTTATGAAGAGGAAGCAAAACTGCTTCTCAATACCGCCGGTGTATTTAGTAAGTAGGTTTTTTAATATTTGTATTAGATTTAAAGTTGCATAATATTGAAAAATTTTATAACTACTATACAATAATATATATGTGTGTGTGTGTGTGTGTTTATATATATATATATATATATATATATATATATATACATACATAATAATTAGTACACAAATAATTCCCATAGGATATTATTAAAGATTAGCATCATTCCCTATGAACATCATTAGCGATTGATATAATTCCCTCTGGACAATATTATTAGTTGGTATAATTCCCCATGGATTGATTCACAAATAACTCCATTTAGAAATTTTTTTTGAAGGAAAAAATTTCTAAATGAAATTATTTGTGCACAAAGGAATTCTAATTTGTGCATGAAGAAATTCTCCTGTAATCGGTCATAAAAGCTGTAATGATAAACTTAGATAAAATATGATATGAGAAGGAATAACAACTTCATAGATTTTTGATGCAAGTGTAAAATTTAGTATAACTTTAGTTTAAAAACTGATTATTTCAAAATTCATAAAAAAATAGGTAGAACAGCTATAAAAAAAAAAGATGATGGGACAGAATAAGAAAAAACTGAAAAATTCAGAGGGGTTGAGGTATATTTACCTATTGAAGTACCCATGAGGGATTTACCTCAAAGACAGCTTTAATCCAATGGTGATATTCTAAGATACTTCGCGAGTCACAGGTTAAATACAAACCTACTTCTACTAATGTTGGTTGCAAATTGAAATTGAAATCCAAGGATCTTGTTTGTGAAAATGAGGTTTGTACAGATCCTGATAATTCTTGCTTGGTAACTAGGATTAAAAAAATTTGGGATAATGCTGGGTTTGGAAAGAAATTTGTGGTTTCTGGGTAGAATATAAAGACCAAAATCATTTAACTTAAAATAAAATACAAGAAAGTGATTAAATTGTCTTTTCTAAACTGGAATAGCAGCCTTGATAAGCAATCAAAGTTAGAGAGATTTTCTCACAGAATCCTATCACCTTTTTAACATCTCGATTAAGAATTTTTAAAAAGATATTATTGCTGATAGATTGAGAACAGATAATGCCAAGCTGGAAGATATAAAGTAAGTTCATTAAATAACACTTTTTTTAGTAGTGAGATTTTCTCTCCGATTTTAAGTAGCTTAAGTAATAGCATATTATTTCCTTTAAAATATTTCCATTTAACTCTTTCCATGGTTTGATCATCTAAGAAAAAGTTCAACTATGTAGAACTTGAAGGAGACTTAGATTGGATTTCAATAACTAATCATCTTAAAGGCCAACAGCATATTCTTCGTTTTGATACCAAAATGTTGGAACAAGTTACGTCTGGGGTTAACATTATTCAAAAAATTGAGCAATTTGCAGTCTCAGTGAGTTTCCCGGATGATGATGTCATGAAAGACCATTGTCAAGGGAGTTGACCAAGCAGAACAAGTGTACAATCTTTTAGAATATTATGGATGTAAAGATCAGATCATTGGTATATGCTGTGGTACAACTGCAAGCAATACAGGCAGAGTCAATGGAGCAGTTCAAATTCTTACACATATTTTGAAATTGCCAATGTTGTGGATAATGTGTAGGAGACACATATTTGAAGTACAATGCGGTAGTGGTGTAGTGGTAGAGCGCTCGTTTCATAAACGAGTGAATCCGAGTTCGATTCCCACCACGTCCCTGGTAGTACCCCGCTCAACTCGTTTCTCCGCGCAGCGGCCTTGCTCGTCAAGGTTCGTGTTTTGGAGTTATAGAGTTGAGAGAGGGTTATAACCACAAATAAGTAGCCTCCTCGTCTGTAGTGGCCTTCTCAGCCTTGAGGAGGTGAATTAAAATAAAATTAAAAAAAAAAAAAAACATGTATCTTACTAAATGGCTGCTCTTACTGGTGAGAAAACTAAAAGTCCAAGAAGAGCTCTTTATGTCAAGCTAAAGAACAAGTGGCCTGAAATCTGTGAGAAAGTTAATGAAGTAAAAATTTTATGTAAATTGGACTGGCAAAAAGATGATCCGAAGATTGGCTCTGTTCTTCGCACTGTTGCAGAGGAAGCTAAGACATTTTTGACTAATGCAATTACTGATATGTTTTCAAGGAATGATTATGGTATAGTTTGGAAGCTTGCCTCCTTCTTCCTTTGAGCGGAAGCACAAGGCTTTAAGTTTCATCAACCTGGCGCCTGACATGAGGCAAGGTTTTTAGCAGATGCGATCTGCTAAAAACCTTGCCTCATCAGCACATCTTTTTCTGTCAAGATATCAGTAATATCTTGACAGAAAAAGAAGTGCTGCAGTTAGAGGATGCAAGTTTGTTCATTGCAATTTGCTATGTTCCATGTTTTTGAAAAATTTTTTTTAGGATTTCTGGCTTCCTACAATGATTTGAAAGTTATCGAGACAGCCTATAGATTGAGAAAAAATATAAATAAGTAAAAATATTGGAAATGCTTTGCTTCTTAGCATGGGACGCCATACGTGGTGCTTTACTCCGCAATTCTGTGTTTTTTCCTTTTGGGATAAAGAAGTTCCTTCTGAAACAAAGCTAAGAATGCTGTTAGCTCTGATTGAGTTTGAAGAGCAAAATGAGTTTCAGTTTCAAATGTACAAATTGGAGAGACCACAGAGTTACCTGAGTTAATTTCTGAGCAAAGCTACCTTCTTTCAAACATTTTAAAATATCAAGAGCAAGTACAAAAGAATGACTTGATAATAGTCTTAATACTATAGATGTTTTTTAACCATCCTCAGTTGCTAGATTTTATTGCATGGATCGAAAACATATCCGTTGTAATTGATGGTGCAGCAAGAAACATTAAGCTCATTAAAGATTTTATTTCAGCTACTAGAGATGAAGATCACCTTCAAAATGTATTTTTAGTAGTTAAAAAGAAAAAACTTGAGTAAGAGTATGAGTAAAAAGGAGCTTGGGAACTGGACTTGGGAACTGTTCAAAAAGTTTTTTTTTTTGAGAAATGTTTCACCGCAATAAAATCTTAAATTTGCTAATGAATATTAGTTTAAATGTATTTTTTTTTTTTGTATTTTCATATTTATAAGTATAAACTATCAAGTTAAATAGTAGAAAGCAATTGGAAATGATTTATACGCATCTAATTGTTTTGTTTTAATTTTCTAAAATGTAAAAAAATTGTGTTTTTTATTAATGTTAAGCCAGGCATAAAAACAGTACAACTCAAATTTTACATCTAGCACATCCTGCCTAAATAAAACCGTCAAATTTTTTTTTAGGACTTATATAAGTCACATAGAATGGGAATCAGAAGAGAGCTTTTTTTTTTTTTTTTTTTTTTTTTTGGACACCCTAATACATACTTACATACAATGCATGCATGCATACATACATACATACAAACAAACAAACAAACAAACAAACATACATACATACATACATACATACATACATACATACATACATACATACATACATACATACATACATACATACATACATACATATACAATATACATGCATGTATCTGTGTATGTATAGAGATATATATATGCCCATGCATACATACATGCATATATGTTCTATATGTATGTATGTATATACATATATATTTTATTTCTTTGTTGAGTCAAAGAAAGTTTTCTATTTCAATTAACAAATCAAGAAAGAGCAAAATCTAGTATCAAATTAATTTTAGCTTGTTTTGAAAAAAAAAATACAATGACTGGTTTTATAAACAATTACCAATACAATTACTAATAATTTTTTTCAAAATAAATCTTTATTGTTATTGTAGGAAAATGCAATGAAACGCATACAGCTGGCTATTAAAATAAATAATAACGTAACATATCAAATAGGAAGGTCTTCAGATATTATGTGTAAGTGAAATTTTTTTTTTAATAAAGTAAAATGTTTTGAACAGACAATATTTACTTTTATTGCGTAAACACTTTGAATATTTTGATATTAGATACTCTAAATTTTGTATTGAAATGACTATTTAAAAAAAGCAACTATTAAAAATATAATAATTGTAATAATATTGTTAAATGATTTTATTACAACACGAAGAACTGGATTCACTAATTGTTAAGTGAGTTTCTGATGAATTTAGAATTGGATGAATTCACTAATTGTTAAGTGAGTTTCTGATGAATTTAGAATTGGATAAGTTTAATAATTGTTAAGTGAGTTTCTGATGAATTTAGAATTGGATGAATTCACTAATTGTTAAGTGAGTTTCTGATGGATTTAGAATTGGATGAATTCACTAATTGTTAAGTGAGTTTCTGATGGATTTAGAATTGGATAAATTTACTAACTGTTAAGTGAATGAGTAATATTTTTGTAAATAACATATAAATAACATCAAAGTAAATGAGTAATGTTTTTGTGACAACTCATACGGAACTTGTTACTATAGAGTTATAATGTTGTGACAAGGGCAGTGAAAAAGGTGTAAATATTCACAAATTGCATGACGTAATTTGTGAAAACCCCTTATTATAGTAACACATTTTTAATATATTTTATATATTTTTTTTTTATTATTTTTTTTCTGAAGGAACTTAATTATAAATCACATTTTAGTATTGATAAATCACATTTTAGTATTTGGTAGGTCCACCTTTAGCCTGGATAACAGGTTTCACATCGTCTTGGCATTGATTTTACCAAACCTTTTGTTTCTTCTGGCATAATTTTCGCCCATGCCGCTGTAACATCCTCTTTAAGCTCGTCTTTCTTTCTGAGTGACCGATCTCCAATTTTTCTGTCCAGAATAGCCCACAAATGTTCGATGGGGTTTAAGTCCAGGCTTTGTGCGGGCCATTCAAGGACTTCCACACTATTATCAATGAACCATTTCGTTGTATCTTTAGCGGTATGTTTGGGGTCCACGGTTAGAACGGATCTTTATAATGCCTACCTTGCTGTCCCAAGAGTGCCACTTTTACGGAAAGTTAGCGTACACATCAAGGTACCCTGTGATGCAAATTTTGAAATTATTTAATTTTGTCCGCGGAAAATAATTTAATACGAATGTTCAAATTAAGTCAAATTTTGACTTCCTAGTGCGCCAATAAAAACACTTGTAGAATTTGAACCACTCAATATAATTTGATAAAAATTGGTCCAAATGTAGCCAATAGTCACACCAATCTCTGGACAAAATTTCAGCTTGAGTAGTGTAGGACTTGTTGCAGTTTTAGTTGAAGTTTTGTCAGTTTTTTGCTACTTATACCTCAAAGCGTTACCTATTACTTTGAAATTCGGTCACTATTTTTAAAATAACGGTTACATAAGGGTTCTACTATGTAATACCAACAATTTTTGTTATAATTATTTTATCGGTACATGTACAGTTTTCATTTTATAGACCAAAATAGTGATATACTGCTTAAAACGCTTATTAGACTAATGATACTTGTCACACGGGTTGTTTTATTTCAAAACAACTCTTCAACCTAATTAGTTATTTAAAGTAATTTTCCTCCGACTGGCCCTCCAAACTTTGTATTGGTCAGATATCTTAGTTAACTTATCTAAATTTTTTAAGTCAATTATCTTTGTCAATATAAAAAATATTTGGTTTTTTCACAGTTGTTCTGTTTTCAGATAAATAAATATTTTTATTTTCTATGTAGGTATCCCTAGAAATCCTTCTTTACCATTTTTTATAATTTTTTTGCATTCTGGCAGTAGTTTATACCATAGGAAATGTTGGTATATTCACGCTATGCATACATGGTCGTCAAGAGAGCCATGGCCTGCCCACTTTTTTTTTGCGAGGACCTTTTGTTTTAGAAATATAGGTAATTGTTTTAGAAATTATGGATTTTATTTTAGAAATTGAGGGGTTGACCCCCTCCGTTTTAAAGGTCGTGTCAACGCCATTGGCATAAGCCAATTCAAATCACGCTAACTTTCCGTATAAGTGGCTTTCTTGGGACAGCTAGGTAGCCATTATAAGGATCCGTGCTAACCGTGGGTCGTTGCCTTGCTGGAAAATATAACTATTTCCTAGTCGCTAATTTTCGAGCCGAAGACTTGAGATTATTTTTGAGAATCTGTCTGTATAATGGAGCATCCATTTTTGAATCAATAAATGTCAGTTTTCCAGCTCCTTTTCAAGCCATAGATCCCCAAACCATTACCGCCGATAAACTTTACTGTGCCTTTCATAGAGCTCAATTTATACGCTTCTCCTTTCTTGCGCCATACTTTTTTAGTTTCTGGAAACCAGCTTCCTTGATCCTGTTACGTATTGTTTGAGGAGTGATCTTGATGCCGTGCTCATTTTCCACCTTTTTAGCTAAATGTCTGGCAGACTGGAATCGATTCTTTTTAATTTGTATTACGATAATACGGTCAATGGAAACATTCGTCTTTCTTTTTCTACCTCGTCCTTCCAAAGAAACTGTAGTAATGTAAAAATATTTTCTAATATAAAAAAACATAACGGGATTAAATTGTTCACCCAGTTTTATCCCGTTATGTTTTTTGGACTAAAGTGGATGATTTTATAGTAAGTTGATAAAAAAAGTTCAAGGGGTATTGAATCTCCGTCCGACTTATCCAGGATACGAGTTCTTCTTTATAATATTTTATGCTAATGCGTATTAGCTATTATTATTGTTTAATAGTTATTATATTATGATTTTAGGGCTCTACATTAATTGACTAAAAAAGCGTAGACGGAGCGGACTCTATATTAATTGACTAAAAAAGAGTACACGGGGCGGACATTATTTGACTAAAATTTAAGTCAATTTATAAAACTTCAATTCCAATTTATGTCAAATTGGAATAGCCACAGTCGAGTGTACTTCAACTGAGGGTTTATATAAACAGGTACTCTTTTAATCAAAATAGCTTTACCCCTCCTCTTCCTCCCCTCCCCATCACGTGACGAAATTTGTGGACGATCCCTTTAAAAATAGGCTTTCAAAATTTAGAGAAATTAAATTTTTGGGGGGCCATGACACTGGGCACTAAATAGTTATCACAAAGCTCACGTGACTGATTAAATCATCGAAAAAAATGAATCTATTTTTAAACAGCTTTAGATGTCAACAAGGCAATCAGCTTAATACATGTATTATGTTAATTGTCTTTTGACGTCTTATATATTAGACTCAAGCAATTATACTTTTATCTAATAATATCTGTAAATATAACCAAGTTACGACTTTGTTGAATCTTAATTTACATGTACGATTTTTGTATTCATTATTTATCTTGACAAAAAAGGGTGCTAATTTTATTGTCATTACCTATTTATTTAGATCAAACTAGTGGTGATGCATTAGACTGGGTTTACGGTCGATTAGGAATTGTTCATACTTATGGCGTTGAATTGCGTCCAACATTACAAATTAAAAATGGCTTTGTTTATTCAAGACTTGCAATTGTGTTAAGTGGCGAAGATTTAATGGTCGGTTTAAAAGAACTTTCAAAAGTAATGTTGGAAGAAGAAAAAAATGCTTTTTAAGTTTCCTTTATTTATTTATTTATTTTTCCAAAAAATAAAGTTTTTTAAAATTAGCAAAGCGCTATAAAGCATACACACTAAGTTTATATAATATGCTGATTGTGATGTATGTTATAGGTTTGGTCATGTTGTGCATGGTTTTACTAACGCAACTAAAAACAAAATCGAAAATCAGTATAATTTCTCGAAATTTTGCGAGAAAATATTTTAATTTTTACACTAACTTTAATTCCACAGCTTTTAAAGGAAGTTGTCAAAACACTGTTTGAAGTTTCTGTAAAAAATTAGATTAACTGTTGAACAGTTAATTTATTAATCTAAGTTTTTTTGTGCAACAAATGAGAATTTTGCTTGTATTTAAACGTATGCAAAATAAAAACATTTTACATGTTTTTAATATCTATGTGTATAAAAATGATGCAAGACTGTTAATACAAACCAAAATATAAATCGCTGCAATTATGATATATATTTACATACATATTTTTTAGCAAAGAAATAGTGTTAAAATGTGTTAAAATAATTTTTCAACTATTTTTTTTTTAATTTTTATGGAAATATTTTATAAAAGTTTTGAGACCTATTTCTGTTGTATCGGTGTTTGTGAAGGGCCACATTTTCATTTTATTTTCGTAATTTAAAGAGATTTTCAAGCTTTTCCTAACAAAAAAAAAAACATAAAAACTTTGCCGCTTTTACTGATATATCGCAGTGGGCACGGTGTGTTTTTTAACCGTTCTTTAGACGTTTTTATTATGTTTAAACCTAATAACCTAAGACGATCTAAAAACGTTTTAAAAAGTAAGAGTTGTTGACCTTGCCTTAAGGACAAAAATTGAGGCCTTGGTCTTGAAACTGTTGGCCTTGGCCCTGATTGTTTTGGCCTTGACCTTTAAAAAAAATACATATTTTCTTATTGATTTCGTTGAATTCTTCCCATAACCTTGGTCTATTTTTACAAAATGTGGTTTTCTTGTCACAGCACTTGCTACTTACAGTTGTGTTAATAATTGGCCTTAACGTAAGACAAAAGTCTTGGTCTTGAAAATGTTTGTGTAGCCCTTGGCGTCGAAACTCTTAATCTTGGCCTTGACCATAAACTCTTGTCCTTGGCCTTGTAACTTTTGGTCTTAGCCTTGGTCTTGTAACGCGTGGTCTTAGCCTTGTAAAGCGTGATCTTGGCCTTAGTCTTGATACTTTTGGCCTTGTTAACAACTCTGTAATAAACTGCCATGCTTTAACATTCAATAAAAAAAGTTTACAACTCTTTACTACCGGTGAAATAAATTAATCTGGTAAAGAATAAAAAAAAATCCTATTTTTTAAACATTTTAATTTTTTAAAATATAATATGCACAAAAATGAATATGTCTTGTGTAAAAATTATTTCTAAATATTCAATGGTTCTCGGATAAATAGTCTATTTCCTATTTTAGTAGGAGTGCGACGTTTAGTGCGGTTGTCAATATTAGAAACTTAACGTAGTTTTATGGGGGAAAGATTACTACATCTGTCTAACAACATCCGTGGAGTAGTGAAATAACATCCGCACATTTTTGTGTAAGATCATCCGCTTTTTTTCTTTACTGAATTAACATCTGTGCAACAACATCCGAAATTTCATTGATGTCTAATATAATCTTTAGAAAGATGTAATTACATCCGAGAGTTTTTCTCGATGTGTAACTACATCCGCCTAAAATAATGCATTATTAAAAATAAAACAAATTTCCTGACGTAGTTACATCTGAAAAAAATCAGATGTGTAACTACATCTGGTTAAAATAATGCATTTTTAAATTACTTTTTTCCCGGATGTAGTTAAATTTACATAAGTTACATATATAATTATTATATTGTATAAGTGCTGCTACATCAACTGACAAATAGCCTGACTCGCAACAGAGTGCTGCTACATCGACTGACAAATAGCCTTACTCGCAACGGAGTGCTGCTACATCGACTGAGGGCTAGGTTTGGGCAGGCAACCTTTCAACTAATTTTAAAAAAAAAATATTATGCTTAAAATAATGCATTACAATTATTTATTTTTGGCGGATGTAGTTACATCCGAAAAAAATCAGATTTTTTTTTTTTAATTTATTTCGTCAGTAAAAAAAAAGAATACAATGCCGTGTAGTATAAATAAGATCTACATGACCGGGGTTAAAAGAAGATAATGCTTGCCTTATCACAACACCCCGATGCGTAACTACATCTGGTTAAAATTATGCATTTAAAAAAAAAAAAAAAAAAAAAACTCGGATGTATTTACATCCGAAAAATCTACAGATGTAGTTGCACGGATGTTATTATACATCAATGAAATTTGGGATGTTATTGCACGGATGTTATTATAAATTTGGGATGTTGTCGCACGGATGTTATTATACATTGATGAAGTTTTGGATGTTGTTTCACGGATGTTATTATACATGGCAAAAACGGATGTTATTGCCCTGACCCGTTTTATGGGTGCCGATGCTATATTGGCTTATATCAGAAAGCTGTTTATAAAAAATAATGTGCTGCTTATCACTTAAATGTAGTACTAAAGGATGCAGTACAATGGTTACTGATATGCTACATATGTCAAAGAAATAATGCATATGCAAGATGTTTTAACTCTATAGGCTTTTAGTTTCAAAAGATGATGCTCATATGGGACTTTGTCAATTGTTTTTTCAAAGTCAAGGTAAACATTATCGACGGGGAGACCTTTATCTAAGTTGAATGTCCGTGCATTGATTAGATTAAAAAGATTTGTTCAAATCTAAAATAAAAGGTAATCTTCAAGTTCGGTAACATTAAAAATATTGAACCCTACTAGATAGGCAGTAAAATGTATATTGAAATTGTATAAGAATTTCAAAAATAATAATCATTTAAAAAAAAAGTTTTTTATTAGTTTAACTGCATGAAAATTGACGTACTTTATGAATAAAATTTAAAAAGTGCATTTTTGCAATTTTTTAAAATAAAAACACTTTATTAACTACGCTAGTAAAAAAGTCCCAAGGTTCTCATAAGAGTTTGGAACAAAAAAAATTCAGATTTGAACCTCATTAAATTAAAAAAAATAAGTTAAAAAATGTTTTTAGTTATCAAAGTTTGGTCTTTTTTTGTTGCTGTTCCAAAATCCTATAGATCCTATAGGGCTTTTGGCTAGAGTAAAGCCACCAGTTTTTATAATGCCTTGAAACGTTTGAAAATTCGTCTTAAAGAACTGGAAAGGTATCGACATGCGTTTGAACATTTTTTTTTTTAAAAAAAACTTTGCAGGAAAATATTCTATCAGTACTACATTTTCTAAAACTTGTCTGAAAAAGTTACTTTTAATTCATTAACTTTTAACATACTTAAAAGAGAATGCGTTTAAAAAAAGTCATTGTCCACCTCTAAAAATATATCAATAATCAAATAGGAACTCGGGGCGTAGTGATAAAAATATATCAATAATCAAATAGGAACTCGGGGCGTAGTGATAAAAATATATCAATAATCAAATAGGAACTCGGGGCGTAGTGATAAAAATATATCAATAATCAAATAGGAACTCGGGGCGTAGTGATAAGGTAAATACTGTCTTCCTGGTCATGTAGATTTTATTTATATAACACGGCATTGTATTCTTTTTTCAATTATAAAATAAAAATAACTTACACTTGTACCAATACCCCAAAAATATGGCACAATTATTCATGAGTAAAAGCTCATTTTATTTTCAAACTTGTTTTACTATTGCTACCTTTGTCAGCTTTTTTTTATTAAAAAATGTTGTTTCTACTAAAAGTTATGCTTCAAAATAACTGTATTTTCAATAAATTTTCTATTAGGCTTATACTCTTAGTTCTCTAGCTTTGACTTGTAAGTAAAAAATTAAAAAAAAACTCAGGCACTAGCCGTATACTAGATTATTAAACTCTGAAAGTTTTAAGCACTAAATTCAAAATTTATCATATTTTTTTGTGCTACAAATTTCTTGAAAAGTTATATTCAAGGAAATCATAATCTAATGCTTTATAAATTAAATTTTGGATGATGCGTCTGTTAACTTTTTCAGAAATTACGTCAAAACAGAAACCGGTCTGTGTTCTAAGTTTTTCAAAAACTTTACAATTCCAAATTCCAAATTCAAATTGATCTTCGTTGAAATGAAGAATAGCATTTGCATATTACTAAAAAACTGACCTTTCTACAAAGACTTGTTTAAAAAAATTTCAGCTAGATTAATCGTTACCATTTTATGTTATATGAATAGATCCCTATAAATGCACCTACACAGAAGCCATCATTTAAAATTTCTTGAAAAAATATCGTCAATGTAGGAAACGTCTATTTTAGTTAAACAGTTATTTGTGTTTGAAAAGTTGGTAAAGGGTAATATTTATTTACTTTTTCATTGTGTAAATTCTTTCATCGTTTGTACAACAAAAAGTTAGCCTTCTTCAAAATTTGACTTGTCATTTAATGACAAGTCCATAGTAATATCTTTTTTAAATTAATGGAGTTGCTTTAAATATTTTTTAGAACAAATGAAGTAATAGGTGTAATACCAAATTATGCCTCATTGTGTTTGAAGTTAACAACTTCTTTGTAGGAAGATGTATCTACTAGAAGACGTAGTAGACGTAGGAAGACTTATCTCCTTTATAATAACTACAAAGTTATTATAAAGGAGATAAGTAAAATCAATGTACGGCCGTGGCGCAGTGGTTAGAGCGCTTGCTTTATAAGCAGGAGATCCAGGTTCGAAACGAGCTTCGAACATATTTCGCGTCATGGTAAGGAAGGAGGCGTGAACTTTCTGGTTAAATGCACTTCCGCGGTGCTCTGTGACAAGATTGTTAGGACTTCTTGGGGCATCTAAATAACAAAATTATTGACAATTATGCCTGAATCCTTATATCTCAGCTAAAAACTTTTTTTTTTTTCAAAATTTCTTTTTAAAAAAAAATTTAAAACTATGTGCTTCATTTTTGTAAAAAAAATTAATTTTAGAAATATCAA